CCGCACCCTCTTTCTGTCTTATAATGCCAGGACAAGCTGAGTTCTCTGTCACTTTATGGCAGCAGGCTGCTGGAGAGTTTTTTATGAGAGCTTTAAAAAATGGCTCGTTAACGGCGGGTTCCTCGTTAATATACTGCCTAGTCCTCGCTTCACCGCCCAAACACTGCAGAGACAGAACTGATCCTCATCCAGCCGCCAAGCTGCCATTTAATCAATGACTCGAGGACCACAAAGAGAGAAAGAGAAGGAGAAGGGGAGATGGGGGAGGGATAACATCAATGTGAAAAGATGGAGGCAGAAAGAAGAGGAAGTAAAGAATGAGGGAGGGAAGATTAGAGAAAGGAAGGAGGAAAGGATCTTATTAGTGAAGTGGTTGAGGTGAGACAGGAAGGACAGGAGGAAAAAGAGAGAGAGATTCAGGATGGGGAGAGAAGAAAGGAAAGGGGGAGTGCAGAAGAAATGTAGGAAGGAGGAAGAAAAGTGAGCTAATGGAGGAGAGATGTAGAGAGATCTGAAAAGAGGGAAGGATCAAGGAGAGAGTAGAGAAAAGAGTGCAGTGGGGGAGAAGGCGTGTCCCGAGTCCTCATCAGTATTCTGTCCTGACTGGAGCTTTATTGTGATGCTGGTCGACCAGTTTAACCATGACAGTGCCTGCTGCAGCTCACCCCGCAGCTCCACACACCTCCATCATCAATCTCGCTCCCTCCCTCATCACTCTCTCTCTCCATGTTGGCCTGCAGCTGTACATCTCTCTTCAACAGCAGCACATTAGATGAGTGTTGATACTCTCAGTGGTCTCGTTTACACCGTAGCCACAACAGGACGAAACCTGTTTCATAGCTCTGAACTGATTCTGCCTTCACGCATAAGGTCATAGTGTCCACACTGGAAATCAGCGCCACAGTGTTCATTGTTTTACACTGGCTGAGAGATCTGAATGCACTGCGTTTCAACGAAACACAACCAATAAAAAAAAAGCAATTAAAAGAAAAAATCTTGTTTACTGGGGCCGCACATACAACACATTGAAAAAATGCAACAACAAAGTTAAATGAAGGAACACCTTCACCAATTTGAGAACACATAAGCCACATAAAAAACATCATGACATCATGTCAATACAGAAATACAGCCAATCAAACACAAATATATTCCAGGGGACACTAAAAACTAATGAGCAAGTCAGTAATTAGTAAATGGTTTCTACTGAAGGTAAAATCAATACCTTCAATAATATTGGAACCATGTCCATTCCCATTAAAGTAAACAGCTCTGACATCACTGCTGCAGCCAGTTTATTTTAGATGATTCTGTACCTACGTTCAGTGCAAAGGCA